ATCACCTTGACCGTCGTTTTCCAACATCTCCCACGAGACACATCTGTTGAGAGGGGGTGGACCGAAGACCTTGTCGGCCTCCAGCATCCCGATATATAAGTCCCAACGAAATCCCCACCTCATCAATCGAACAAGCCTCATCGAATGGCTCGCAACGCGGGAAAATCATTCAAATAATAATCACCACAACGTATTCAACGATACGAAAAGTTAAAAACAAATCTATCCCTCAGCAAAATAAAACGCGTAAAAAGGATAATATCACTTTTTATTTTTAAATCTCCCACTTGACTCGATATATTCTCTTTCTCCGTCAACCCCTCCCGTTTACCTCTTGTACAACGGTTGTTACTCGTCCCGCTCTTTCTTTACCCGCACTTGTAATACCAGAACAGAACAGTTAACAACCAACACTTTACACCAACTGAGGTTTTCCCTCCTTTAGTTACTTTATTTTATTTTTACTCATCACCTCGCGGATACATCAGCGCCATGAGACTCGTAAGTAAAGTGTCTATTTTTTGATCCCTAATTTTTTTCAATTAATCAGTTTTTCAATCTTACTGATCACCAATTACCGATTATCGTTACGTTTCGATGTTCAAGTGATGAGATCGCAATCGTGAGTTCAGTGATGACATTCAGTGGATAATTAATTTTTCGGCAATCATTCATTCCCGGTGAGCCACGGGTTTTAATTAATAATATAATTTTTTATTTTCATTCGGAGAATTCGTGGTTTGACAAGTTTATGTGATTGGCGATTATCGAATTGTTTTTTTGAGTAGTTTTTTTTCTGTGTCCTGCAGATTGTTGTGCAAATTGTTCTGCAAATTGTTCTGCAAATTGTTGATTGACGTTTTTTGGGATTTTTTTTATTGTTTATTTATCGGAATGAAGACTTGTGGCGATTCTACCCGGAAATTTAAACTGCGCGATAGCTGGGTGTGATATATTCCTCGGGCGCGCAGTAAAACTTCTGAAATTGAGAAAATTATAGAACAACGATTTGCACTATTATTTATCGATTGTTTATGGAGTTGTTTTGAATTGAGGAGATGTTGTTTGGAAGGTAGCGTGATATTGATGCGTTGGGGATTTGCACAGGTTTGGCGTTTGCGTGCGCAAGTGAAAACAAATCGAAAGTAAAGATGAATAAAAAAATCATTAAATTAATTGTGCCTTAAGTTGGGGTAATTGAAGGGGCTGGATTAATCAGGGAAGAGTGGGGTTAATCCAATTATTCTACGCTGTTGATATCTCACGTGGTGATAACGCGGAATCTGTGATATTCTTGGAATTGCAAATAGCGATTCTAGACCGTGCAGTGATTTTCATTGATACAGTGAAGTGGGAACGCAGAGGGGAATTTTTTCAATGTATTTATTATTTAGTTATTAATTGTTTATGTCTGAGAATAATTGTTGTTAAAAAAGTTGATCTGATGTTTTAAAAATTACGGTTTTTTTGGGAATTTTTACCAAAATGCAATTTTTACATGCTGAGATTTTTCGACGGATCTATTAGTTTTTTAAATAATAGTGAATGGATTTTAATAATTTTTTTATCGATATTTCTGGAATTGAGTGAAGTATTGAAAAATGTTTGAACAATTTTTTTAGGAAACAAGATGTGTAGTTTATGTTTAAAAAATCGCGATGCAACATTGAGTTAAAAATATTCCCTTGAAGTTTCTAATTCCGTTTCTTCTTCAGAATTCCTTCAATTCATCTGAAAAAAGAATCAACTGAATAATTTATCGCTCATCTGTAATTTTCTTCATTTTCCACTACTAATTTCTAATGGAGATTCAAATTCCGTTTCTTCATCTAAATTCTTTGAATCGATCAATAAAAGAGGAATCAACTGAATAATTTATCATGCATCTGTAATTTTCTTCAAGAAATTAGAAATTTCAGTTCTCGAAATTGATATTTTTATTAATATTCAATTCTGTTGAAAGAACTATTAATTTTTTCATGAATATTCCATTCTGTTCCCGAAATTATTCCATTAAGTTACGAAACTTGAGAGAAATTGCGTATTTTCTCAACATTCACATTCACCTTCCCGACATTCGAGGAAAATTTCTGATAACTTCTGGTCGAATTCCTGAAATTCTCGGGAATTCGTGGTAAAATTTTTCAACCGAATTTCCCGACAGAATTTCCGCCTTCGTATTTTGGCATTATCTTTTCTCAGAGAGTTGTATAAAATTACCAACGATTTAGTAATAAAATTGATGCACCGAGTGATCATCTGACCTTGCCCGCGGCTCCCACGTAATTCTCCAAGACTTGCACCTGGTGCACATCAATTTATTCCCTTAGATGGAAATAAAGACTGTACGGAAAAACATTGTAGGAAAATTTTGCATGACGTTGTAGAACAAATGACAAATTATCTTCTCGGCCAAAATATTTTCATGCAATTTCCACCAACAATATCGTAATTCACATAATTACAATTACCATATGTTTGGAGAACTTCAACGGACAAATGGCAATTGCACCTCCATTTTATTTACGACTATTAAATTTCTCGTGAAATTTTCACCAGATACCTTATAATATTTTGTAATATGAGCGGAATTGCAGAAATTATTATAAAAATTTTCAAGTCCATCAGTCTAAAAGTAATAACCATTTTACTCTGTAATTATCACATTAATTGCAATTACAAAATTTTAAAAGGACTTCAACTGGCAAATCGTAATTGCAACGACATTTTTTTTACAACCACATTTCCGGTAAAATTGTCACCAGACATTTTATAATATTTTTGAAATTCCAAAACTAATGATAATTTCAAAAAACGTCAGTATAAAATTGACGACAATTTTTTTAATCATAGGAGAACGTCGTCGGTATCTTATTTATTCGTTCCAACCGATTACTCATGCACAAATAAATTAATCAATTCCCAAATAACCTGTAAAACTGCAAATACAGGAATAAGAGACTATTGGCCGATCAATTACAGAATATTGAGAGTTGATCGTTTAAATATCGGTTCGGATCGTCTTTATTTATTATCGCGCCAATGATTATCGTTAAGTCAACTGGTTATGGTAAAATTGGCAAGTATTATTGCAACAGGGGTGTCCAGCACGTGTCTTGAATGAAAAAAGAAACGGTCGGAATGGGGTCAGGGGTGGTGGCCCAATTAACATTAACAATTATAGACAACCAACACTCATACTGTCATTTGCATATAGAGTTGAGGGGAAGGTGTTACGCGATGAGTGAAAAAAAAATTCTGAACGATATGATTTTTCAGTCAAGGCCGTTTCCTCCCTTTTACAAATAAACAGTGATTTTTTTATACTGGCATTTTGCAACGCTATTCCTATAGCCGTATATCAGCGGTGATAGAAATAATCACTTGGGAAACAGTTTGTTTTTATTGGAGAATTGCTTTAGTTCATTTGGAATTTTCGATATTTTCATTCATAATGCTTTATTTTTCCTCATCAATCATCATTAAATATTCCAAATAATCAATAAATTATTCATTAACAAGAATAATCGAATTCTGTCTAAATAATTGATAAATGTTAAAATTTTACTTAACATTTGCAAAGTAATTCCCCATTTATTCCATAACTCAGTCGTTTTCCCGTTATTCGTGTTTTTGCAATTCAAAAAAATTAATGCTCTTTAATTTTCCTTAATTATCACTCGCGTGAGAAGCGTTTCCAGGGCCTTGGGCCGAATTCTTTGGTTAATGAAGATGTCACGCAAAAAAGAAAGCCTGGAATTATAACGACTCAAGTCCCTCAACCTCCAACGCCGTTTTATTCGAATAATCGTCATTAACTCACGCACATACCGCATCAGAGGCCAGCAATTGTTTTTTGTTTGACTCTCCTGTGTGCTAGTGTGCCATGCAATAATACAAATAGAACAATTCTCAGATTCTCCTGAGCAATCTGTCAAAAATTTTCGTCCTAATCTCCCCAGAAATTTCGCAATCCCAGAAATTTTCTTTCAATTATTACACCCTGAGAGTTATGAAAAATTATACAATTCCAGAAGAGAATTTAAAATCCATTAAAGACAATTCTCCTTTAACAGAATTAAATCTGCAACACCCTAAGAAAAATACTTGTCCCCAAAAATTTGTTTAGCACAAGTAAACTTTCACAATTTCATCAAATAAATTAAACACTCTGAAATATTACCAATAAATACGAATATTTTTGGGACAAACAAAATCATTGATACAATATAAATTTTTTCCGTAAGCTGATGGAAAACTAATAGAAAACTCATGGAAAATAAGAGAGGAATTATTTTATTTTTGTTGGCACAAATCTGAACGGTAATTTGTACAGAGTAAATTTCTTTGACAGAAATATACTTTTGTCAGTGTAATATGAACAGAAAAATCCCGAGGGCGGGAATTTGTGTTGAAAGTATCAAATGCATTTTAACATCTCGTTAAGGATCTGAAGCGTTTCCTCCGCGTGATCCTTTCCATCGTGGTGATTTCACCGAGTTATACACACACCGCAGACTCCAGGCGATTTATACACTCGAGACCGCCGGACCGTGGCATTCCAACTAATAAATGATAATATTCAAATCTATGTGTCTCGATTTTATTATAAATAAGGGATGGCGGATAATACGGATATCACTAAAAATTCTGAAACATGATTTCAATAGGGGGCCAGGGATTTTTTGGAATACTTGATTTCAAATGACTTGATTTTAAATGACTTGATGGGATTTCAAAAGCTAGTCCTCCTGATTTTATCATTTCAAATGATTTCTGGACTAATGAGATTTCAGTTAAAAATGACAGAGTGATTTTAGTAACGGATAGTTCTTGCGAAATTTATTTAGTTACTCCAATCAAACTCAATTTAAATATGAGTTTTCTATAGATATCTCAATATCAAAAAATTTGGCGAAATTTTTATAATTGAAAAAAAAATCGAGGTCCATTTTACCCCCTTTTTTTACTTTAAATATATATATATATATATTTGGTTTAAAAAATATTTTCCCGTCGTCTCATGTGGATTCCAATACATTTCTAAATTCCGGAATTAAATTGTGGCACATACCAATTCCACGTTCAATTGCTGATATTATTTTAAAATTGTATTGCGTATTCTTCTAAACTCTAGCTCAAACGGCCGAGCATCGGTCTTACCCAATTTCCACTCCGTGTGCGAATTTTCTAATTTACGCATTAATTGTTAATTTAATAATTCCCGACGTTCCTACAACTAGATAGTAAAAATAATAATATTTGTCATCCAATTGTCCCTCCAATTCATACCTTAAAAACCATCAGTAATTAATCTGGAAATCTTATAGTAAAGATGGCAATTTTTAATAAATTCCCTAAAAAAATAATAAAACAAATAGACACCTAAAATACAAAATAATTATCGTCGGACGATTCCTAAAAGATCCCTATAATAACTCAACATCGATATCGGTGCATAAAATTCGATTTTTTGAAATTTCTCCATTTCCACGCCCCCCGGAAGAAATGAACTTTCTCCCACATGAATAAATCCCACGAAAATTCCGCCCAACCTCCCACCCATGAGACTAACTGTCTTTCGAATGACCGTCCATTGTGTCGACATGCATAGAGATCACTGAATTACGTCAGGACCACGAAAAATCCCTTTCAAAGACAATTACTTTGAAAATAAGGGAATTACTTGCGCTGGCAATTGCGTGATATTGACCATGCCAACGCGTATCGCAAATGATATACGAGCCTTTCTTATCAAATTCTTTAATCATACATTTCATTTGGCATTAGCCAAGGTGACTGAAAGTGTTTCACCGGAACCGCGTGAGCAATTCTACCATTGCAGACCAATTGCACCATTTCATACACAAGAGAACACCACATTCTCTTCCGGCAAGGTGTAACAATATCGCGATAACACGCCGATCATTTATCGTTAAAACTCATCGATCGGTCGAACGTATCGATAATCGATCGGTATCAAACCCGTTGTTAAAAAAAAAATTCAATCACCAATAACTGCACCTAGTCACCATAAAACCATCGATAAAATGATGGAAAGTAACAGGAATAGTGATAATTAGATCGCTTGATTCTTAATAAATCCATCACCATAAAAAAATCGTTAGAAAGCTCTGGCGATCAAAAACAAAATGCACGTCATTGATAAATCGTTGGTGCCGATGTCTGGGCATGAGGGTAAACTCAATGAAAGTGAAACTGGAATTTTATAGTGCCAACGAATGAGTAAAATAACCAACTGCTTGTAACATGATACGTGTGCCCAGTGTTGGAGTCAACTATAATAGTTACCGATCAAAATAAACATGAGGTTTAATCACCCACTCAATAAAACATTTCGCGTATCGAGAAGATAGTGGATGAATTTGAGTGATTGAAAAAAAAAAATGTCAGTGAAATTGGTGAAAGTTTAATGACTCATTACATTTCGAATAAAATTCCAGTCAAAATCTGGCAAATGCTGGGTTCCAGACACTTTCGTTTACCGTCCCTTGTGATTTTGCAGGGGAGGACAGGTGGAATTCACTCGGAAGTGTTCACCCAACAATCATGAACTATTTATAAAAGAGTCAGTGGTATTATATCAGATTGGCACAATCTCGGCTGTTATATCTTTGGGTCACGGTAGCCGGACATGTGTGTCGGCTGCCCCTTGGGTCTCCCTCAATCGCAATAGCATCCTCGGAATAAATATAAAGGAATAAACATTTATGTTATTACAGAAAAAAATATTGTGTACATAGAATTGCACTCGGAACCCGTCGTTGATTAGAATCGTGAATTGATAACGCTAATTAATCATTAGAGCTTCAGAGATGTTTCGAGATGTTTGCGCGTTGTTTTGATTTTGGATTGAGGGCATGTGTTGCGATTTGCAATGAGATTTTAGGAAATTTATTCAATTTTATTTACATTTTTCCCTTACGTTGTAGTAATGTGTCCTTTTTGTAATACTATAGCATTCAGCGGACGCGATAAATAAAATATATAACAATATATTCAATATACTCAATATTCATTGAGTTCAGTTAATAATTTTATCATTTTTTTTTAATCAAGATTTTAATTTTTATGTTTAGTTCATTAATTTATCCGAATTTTATTAATTAAACTCGGTGCATACATATAAAAAATAATACAATGCATGCAATATAAAAAAATTGTAATTAACAATTAAAAAATGTTTCTTCAAAAAACGGTCACACTTTTTTACATCTGGATTACTTTCAGAATGGATATGTAAAAATGAGAATTTTTTGGGAAAAATACTCATAAAAAGTCACAATTATCCGCTTTACGATTCCAAAACGTGAAAATAAATGAAACTAAAAAATGTTGTCCGTGTGGGCGTGGACGTCTGAACGGGAAATAAACAGTGGCATCAATTAACTAATAAACCCACCCAATATCCCTCTCATTTCCGCAAACAAAATGCCATGAAGTATAACTGTGAAAGTTTAAATATACTAAAAACCTAACGTCGATCTACATGTCCATTGAGCTTGAGGAATACTAATTTATTATCCAGCGTGCTCATACCTTTCTCGATAACAACCGGTTTTCCTATTTGTTAATCGTAAATTGAACGGATTCCACAGCGAATGTAGCATCTTACTTCACTAAATACTTACATCATATCCATAAAATTCCAGTAAAACTAATCCAATTTTCTATCTGCAAAACGTTTTATTCCCATGAGCATTTCGTCGTTTCATTTGGTTTTTATCACGAATATTAAATCCCTACAGCCAATGATAAATAAACAGAGAGTGCAACCCCGAGGACGTGAGCATTTCATCATTTGCAATTTACGTAACTAACAGTTACTGGAACGCGAAGGAAAAAATAAAAAAAAGAAACAAGTGGGAACTCCTCCTTGAGGAAGAGGCTTCTGCCACCGGGGATTTACGATCGAAATCGCAGGTTCAGTAAATGAATTCACGTTTCCGTTTGTCAGAAATGCGTTAACACAGTCTATAAAAATAATGTCTCTTTTTTCAATTGAAAATGCGAACTGGTTAAAGCCGATAGATTACTCTCTCTTGGTGTCTTAAAGAAAACCTCGAATATTACCGTTAATTATTATCATCACGCGCAACTCATGTGTCGGGTAATAATAATAGCCTTACTTGTCATTATTTCGGGTACCTAAATACATACGAGTCTATATGGATTAACCGGTTGTTAATAACACAGTTGGCTGAAAAATACGGTATCACTAGCAAATAACTTCACGCAGATAACTCCGGAAAAATAATAATAACTCTTGGAAAAAACGTAACTCAATCAAAATGGTTTTTAAAAACTGCCCAGCATGGGAATAATTTTCTGCGAAATTCATTTTCACATAATCAACACCAGTTATTGTTTAAAAACCGGGACTTTCTACCCATAACATTCAATAGGTAAAACATAAAAATCCATATGAAACAAATACTTCACATGCTCTTTAATATCAATTAAACACACATTATCCTGCACAGAGAGAAATAATTCTAAAATATATTACAAAATATTTCTATTTAATCAATTGTTTTATCTCTGCACTTACTGAAAAAATACGGAAATGGTTCTCTTTTTCTTCTTACCGAATTTCCGTCGTAAATTCTCGGACAGCAATTTTCTAGTTAACATATTTTTTTTGCAAATAGCAGAAGAATTTACTACTAGATTTTCGTTTCTGGGCAGAAAGGAAGAAAATGAAAATAGCACTTTTTCCTCTGAATTTTTGCCCAAGTGGTGTGTCCTAGAATTTTCAATTAATGGTGAACCGCATGCGCGGTCTTTCCTTGGAGAAGAAAGTTGCATTTTCCACGCAAACCTTGACAATTTCATTCGCATCGACCGCCACTCAAGCGATTCAACGCTCAAACATCTCAAAATTCAATTCTTCCCCTGAAGTTCCTTTCACCAAAGTTTTTTCTCGACATTATTCCCAAGTTATTCAATCACAGGTTAAAAAAGAAGTATAAAATATGAAAAATGCCAGTTCGTGTCTGGATCATTGTCACTCACTAGCACAGCAATGTCCCTCAACCGTGCGAGCGTTCCTCACCCATTTGCCTCATTCCTATTTTTTTCCATCTCCTTTATTCATCATTACTCAAACACGCATCATACAGGCGGAGATCACGCACGACATTGCCGTAATAGTAAAAACACTCCCACGTGTTGCATTACCCACGAGGATGCAAATAAAATGCCCAAAATTTCCTCAAAATATTCCCGCCAAACGCGAGAGCATTGAGGTAAATGAGCTGCACGATATGTATCAAACTTGCGAAATTTTATCACCGAGAAAGCACTGGTCCAGAGAGACTTAATTGATCGCAATCCCCAAGTCCCGCTGATTTAACCTGATTTTTCCCTGAAAAACAAGGAAATTAAAAAAACCGTCGCATTGCACACCGACATCACTGTCATGTAGATCACTCGTTAAAACCAGAAAATACCGATAAATCGGAGGATATTAAATAGGTAGTAAACTGTTGGCGAGTCTGACTCTGATCATTCCATTTGAATAAAACGTAACGTATGGGTCAATAGAGATAATAACCAGTAATAAATAAATCCACAAATTTAATGGTTTCAACAATATTCACCACGGATTTATTCTCCTGGAAATAACTTCATGTAATAAATCATGTGATCTTCCAGATTGCCATAATTGTCATTGCTCTCGCCATCGTGTCAGGTGCATTGGCACAGGATTATAGTCAGTTATTCGCGGGCTTTGGACCCTACCTCCGTGCATCATCACCAATGAGAGATCCACGCTCCAATCGAGGTAAATAAAACCGAAAAACCGTTAAATCCTATAGATATTCTATCTAAACCATCAAACCAATGACGTTTGTGACGGCTTCGATATTTATGGTCTCGTATAACTTCCGGAGTGAATGTCTTCATCAGTACTTTCTCTGATGTATCTCTTGAGCTACTTGTAATTCAAATGTCTGGCAATGATGGCTATGACAAACACGTGTGTGAATTAAATAGACTTGGTTCACTATTTCTGAATTAGTCAGCATTAAAGTTGCCAGCTGAGTGTGCGAAGGAAACCATAAGAATGAATGATATGCAATTGTAATCTTGGATAGCCGATCGATCTTTATGCTTCATCGAGTGGAATGCTGCTGGACTATTATCTCCCAAACCTGCTCAAGGCCAATCGCACTACTGATAATGACAATCAGGAGAGATCATCGTTGAACTGTGAAGCAACTACTTTACGGATCGTGATGAATAACTTAATTTCGATGCGGTTGCGGTGGCTGTTTGTTAGGAATCATTCTTGCCGTTGTCAAGCACCATTTGCTGTCGACCTTCTTCCGATTTGCCAGAAGTAATGTTTATCAGTTTGTCGGTTGTAATTGTACGTTGTTTAATTGCAGGTCCTGTGCTTTTCCCAGTGGGACCACCTGGCAATCCAGCTGATACCAGTGGTGTGATTGTTGGTGCCAGTGGTTTTGGATTCGTGCCACCCAACTCAGGTAAAGGAAATGCTGGTCGATAACGATTTGACTCTAGTTATCGGCTTCAACGACGATTTGGAATTGAAAATGGTGTCTGTCCTTTGCACTTCATGTATATAGAGAATCTGAATGATGATCAGATGTCTAGATTAGCACAAATTATCATCTCCATCAGTCCTTTAGTTATCCATCACCATCCACCGACAGAGTTATCACAATAAACTATTTATGTGTCACGTACTGATTAACATGCTTGAAAATTTGTTCATTCCTAATTGGAAGTACCCAATTACCCATTACTCCTGAATGAATTATTGAGGTGCCCAGGGCTATGTGATAAATAAAAATGTATAATCCTTGTCTACTTCCTTTTTGATATGATCCTCGTGATAAACCGAAATACAAAGTTCCTTAATCTGTGTGATCTGTATATGAGCTGTTTGTGGGTTTAAAAACTGGATATGAATGCTAACCGCAGAAACATGTGTTGTAAATGTCTCAGTACTTGTATTGCTAGTTCATTATTCCACAACCATGGAATTCCAGTCCTCATTGGGTGATAATTGAAAAGGTTGGGATGAACTAATTACACATCACCTTGAAAATTAACGTGTCTCCCGTGCAAGTGATCACTACCCAAGTGTCTTTCACTAATAGATTAATCACCATTTGGGAAATGATCGAAGGCTGCACAAGATTAGATTGGAAAGATGATTTGTCATCACCTTCCGGTTGGTTTAATTGGCTGTGATGTATGCATGTGCTGTGAGAATTTAGTCAACAAGTAGTATTAGTCTGCATGATGAATACTTGAATGATGCTGCAGGCATTGCTTCCGGGCTCTTTGAGGTGAGGGAAAGTGATATATATTTTTTCACGTCGTCTAACCCCGAGGGCATCGAAAACTCGTTTCAAGAGTATTCACGACCTTCCTCTAGACTTTAAACGCCCGAGCGTAACGGGTTACATTACGGAGGTCGTAATGGAGCATTGACAAGGACGTTTCCAACTTTGGTGACCTCGTGTCGAGGTACAGATGCCTCTCGGCGAATTAGAGAGCAACGATCCCCGCTCAAACCAGTTTCAGGGTCAATATCATGGTGAAGGAAGTCAAGAGGTTGTTGATTACAAATACGTCTGATCTGACGGGAGCTGATCTGAGCTGACTGAGTATCCCGTGATCGCTCAGAAATATCAACTCAAATGACCAATCACAGCTTGTCATTCGTTTTAATCGTCATATTACCCGATTATTGTCAGGTGTTAAAACGATTGAAGAACAACTATTTTTATATCGAGACACTTGC